AGTTAGATTGAGGCCTTTCTAAGCCCTAGGATCTGATCTTGACACTTTCCAGCCCAACAAGACTAATGGCTTGCCACTAACGATAAAACAACCGAATCCTCTTAGGATGTCTGTTTCCAAACCACCAGTAGCCCCCAAAATCTTTATGCTGAACACTTGTGTACAACTCTCTAAAGTGGGAACATCTGAGTCTTCAGACCCTGGTTCCCTACAGTGACCTTGATAGTCAAAGCCCTTGCCAGGATGGTTATAAGGAAACGCCTTGGGTAATATCAAGCAGAGAGTAATGCAACTCGTTGCATTATGTTTCCTTCCTGCTGTCCGGACCAGCATGCTTCCTAAATTCAGACTGTTGCTATAGTTAATGACATAAATCATAGATGATTGATCTAATTTTTTTTCCTCTAACCTTACACAAACTCTTCTGGCTTTGCTCCCCATGCCAGAGTCATATTGAATTACATACTCCCTCTCTCAAACTCTTCTAGAATTTTTCTACATGGCATTGATTCCCTATTTGGGCAATGATCTTGTTCCACTAGCCCAGAAGATCATGAGCATTTCCATGGAAGTTAACAGAGCTTAATGGCCCCAGTATCCCTGAGCCTACTACAGTGTCTCCCATAATTCAGTTTCTCAAAAATGTCTGATATCTTAGTGTGGACATCACTGCTCACTATTGTCAAAGTTAACCCATAAATCTTGATGTATCTGAACTATTTAAAGACACTTGGAGTTTCTCAGCCCAGAGATGCAATTTGAATTTGGGTAATCATTTTGAAACTTGAAGGCCGGGTACAGTGGTTTACACCTGTAATCCTAGTACTTTGGGAGGCCAAGATGGGCAGAACTCTTGAGTTTAGGAGTTCGAGACTAGCCTGGGCAACATGGTGAAACCCCATCTCTATTAAAAACACAAAAAATTAGATGGGTATGGTGGTGCATGCTTGTGGTCTCCACTGTTCTGGAGGCTGGGGTGGGAGAATTACCTGAGCCCAGGAATTCAATGCTGTGGTAAGCTAGGATTGAGCCTCTGCACTACAGCCTGGGTAATGAGAGTGAGACCCTCTCTCCAAAAAAAGAAAAGAAAGAAAGAATGAGAGAAAGAAACTTGAAACTTGAAGCACTTGAAAAGATAAACAGAAAAGGAATTTTCCTAAATGTTGCATAAGTAATAATTATGAAATACAAACTATAAGTGATCTGGATAGATGGGACAGAGAATGAAATTCGAGAAAGTTATAATCCTCACAAGCCATCGCATTTGATCCTCTGAATCACGTTTTTTAAATGCCAAAAAGGTAGTCTGGGGAACATCAACCACCTGAAGAGCTTCAGGAAAAAAGTTTCATGGTTAAAAATAGGTTGGGGTAACACTGCCTAACAACAGCCTCCTTGGGAGAATCACCAGTGCACAGGCGGGTGAAAAACACTCCAAGCCTGCAGTCAAGAAACCTGTTTAACCTTGTTGAACTTCGTATTTTTCTTTTTCTTTCTTCATAGTACCTATTAAAATTCCATGGAACTGCCTGGCACAGTGGCTCACGCCTGTAATCCCAGCACTTTGGGAGGCCAAGGCAGGCGGATCATGAGGTCAGGAGTTCGAGACCAGCTTGGCCAACATAGTGAAACCCCATCTCTACTAAAAATAAAAAAATTGGCCGGGCAGGGTGGTGCATGTCTGTAGCATCACTACTTGGGAGGCTGAGGCAGGAGAATCACTTGAACCCAAGAGCGGAGGTTGTGGTGAGCCAACATCACGCTAGTACATTCCAGCCTGGGCAACAGAGTGAGACTTTGCCTCAAAAAAAAAAAAAAAAAAAAAAAAAAAAACCATGTAACTTGTACTCTACAGAATATATTTAGGGAACACTACTCTAAACATCTTAGAGATTGAGGCAGGATATGTGGAGAATTACTATTTTCATTCTACAGGAGGTAACTAAGACTTAAGAAAATCAATTTCTCCAGACTCACCCAGATTCTAAACAATGGAGCCATTCATTAATGAATTCCATATTCAACATTTGTTGTTTCATACATGTCAGGCACTGTGCTAGGCACAGGGTGACATTTCTAGAATTTTAGACTATTAGAACTAATAGGTACATACCAGACCATTTGGCACAACCCCCTCATTTTCAGGGAGGAAAGGAAGTTTCAGAAAAGGTAAACAACTCAAGTCTCTACAAAAAAAAGGAGCTGGAACTAGAATTCAAATCTAGGGTATTCGCCTTCAAGTCCTGTGCTTTTCCTAGTACACTCCTCTGCCTTCAGATATGCTCACACAATACAAAATCTAATGTTTGAAAATCTTCCCAAGAGCTCAATTGTTTCTTGATCCAATGACAAAGCCAGCACAAACCCAGAGGAGGATGGTATTCTCTCTACCCAGAAAATATTAAGGAATATTTGCATTTTTGATCATTTCCCCAGTATATTTAACAAATTGAAAGGCACTTGACTACTTCCATGAGCAATCTTAGTACTTTTTAATGAACTATAAATACATTTCTAAAACCAAATGTGCATTTTTGCTATAAATTTCTTAGTTTAATTTCCTGGGTAGCTGCAAATACTTTTGGAAATTCGTGTTGGAATGTGAACTTTTGTAAACCTCAAGTTTCACTATAGGAAAGAGGTTCTTATTTCTTGTTTATAGATCTGATGAAGAATCCTGTCCCAGAAAAAAACTGCCTGTTAAGACACAGTGTCACCACCATTTTACCGGGTTCTCAAGCTCACTAAATCTCTTGCTCTAGAACGTGACATTGTAAAGTCTTCTACATATCAGGAGTTTACTTCAACTCCTGATTTTGTGTCTGTCCAACTTCGACTTGGGTGCTGCAATCACGAAGTTAGAAATAGGTGAAAATATAGGTCCTGGAGCCAAGAGTAATTAAAGTTTACTTTAAGGTTTCCCCACAACGGTGACAATAATTCTAATACAAATTAAGAGCAACAACAAACACAAATCCCTAAAATAGATATTTGCATGATTCAACTGTGGTTTATAGAACCATTCATAAATGCATGGAAAGTGGGGCATACTTTCTGTTCTCCAGCTCTTTCCCAAGACCTATCAGGAAGGGATATAGAGGAGTGGTAGGGGGCAGTGGGAGGGGTGGAGGGAATGGGATTGGAATTTAAGGAAAGGCATAAAGAGAAACAAAAGGAAGTGTTCATTAGAGAGAAATTCTGGAACAGTTACAAAGATAAGGAAATCCCTATTTCTCTTCCCTGCTTCTGATAACTCAGATTCCTTATTACTCAGAATCAGGTAGACCGAATTGATTTTTTTCATGACTTGGTACTGATGATGTCCAGTCCTAGCCTTCTAGGCACCTTTTCAAACAACTTCTAGGGAAAACATCTTAAATGTTAAGAAAGGAAAACAAGGAAGTAAGCAGTGATCCATGTGTTAAACAACTAATATGCGCCTATAATTCCAGCTACTTGAGAAGCTGAGACAGAGGGTTGTTTGAGGCCAGAAGTTTGAGACCAACCTGGGCAACATTGTGAGACTCTCCGCTCAAAAAAACTTTGTTTTTCCATTAGTCAAGTATGGTGGCATGTGCCTTGTGGTCTCAGCTTTTCAGGAGGCTGAGGCAGAAGGATCACTTGAGCCCAGGAGATTCAAGCTGCAGTGAACTACGATGGTGCCACTGCACTCTAGCCCAAGAGACCCGGCAAAACCTCGTCTTAAAAAAAAAAAAGCCAATTTCCAAAGAAAATGTGAAATTAAGTCACTGTATTTCAGTGCATGTATGGTATTTACAAAATAGGAGAAGTGGCCAGGCAGTTTATGCCTATAATCCCTGCACTTTGGGAGGCAGAAGAGGGTGGATTGCTTGAGCCCAGGAGTTCAAGACCAGCCTGGGCAACATGCAAAACTCCATCTCTAAAAAAAATACAAAAATTAGCCAGGCATGTGAGCATGTGCCTATGGTCCTAGCTACTTGGGTGGTTGAGGTGGGAGAATCACTTGAACTTGGGAAGCTGAGGCTGTAGTGAGTTGGGATTGTGCTACTGCACTCCAACCCACGCGACAGAGCCAGACCCTGTCTCAAAAAAAAAAAAAAGGACGAAGAAAGAAAGAGAGAAAGAAAGAAAAGACAAGAAAGGAAGAAAAAAAGAAAAAGAAAAGGAGAAAGAAAGAGAGAAAGAGAAAGAGAGAAGGAAGGAAGGGAAAGAGGAAGGAGGGAGGGGAATGAAAGGAAGGCAAGAAAGAAGAGGAAAAAAGGAAGAAGAGCCTGCTGTATTCCGCAAGAGCACAATATCACTTGGATTTTAGCACATGAATCTTAGTTAAAACCATCATTACAGCAAATAAGGTTGTATGAGGACTTGTGCATAACAAAGTCAATTTATGGCCAAATAAATCATCATGGATTTTAATCATACCATGTAGCAGAATGAGCACAACCTGAGTCAAGCCAACTTTGAAAGAGAGGGGAAGTAGCAATGTCTTTGCATCAGTCTAAAAGTGTGGGAGTCTGGTAAGTAAAGACCCTCTCAAATCATAGGTCTTGCCGCCTCCTCTGAAAATCCCTCAGGCAGCTGTCTAGCTGAAACTCTGGGGGAGAGGAATTTACCCAGCTGGAACCCTCACCAATTTCCTTCCAGGTCTCTGTACATTAATAGTCAAGACTTCATAGCCCAATGTTGAAAGCAGATTTTCTTTTTCTTTTGAGATGGAGTCTCGCTCTGTCACCAGACTGGAGTACAGTGACATGATCTCGGCTCACTGCAAACTCTGCCTCCTGGGTTCAAGCGATTCTCATGCCTCAGCCTCCCAAGTAGCTGGGATTACAGGCATGGGCCACTACACCCAGCTAATTTTTGTATTTTTAATAGAGATGAGGTTTCACCCTGTCGGCCAGGATGGTCCCAAACTCCTGACCTCGTAATCCACCTGCTTTGGTCTCCCATAGTGCTGGGATTACAGGCATGAGCCACCGCACCCAGCCGAAGGCAGATTTTTTTTAGCAAGTACATACCTGTGGAAGTTTCACATCATTAATATCCCAGCTTAATATTTCTTTGTCTTCAGAATCAAAGTCGTCAGGCTCCATGATAAGGTCAGGCCAGCCGAGGTTTCACCTATTTGACTCAGAAGTGCTTGAGAATTTTGTTCTCAAAGGTTCTTGATAATAGCTGGATCGGCCCACTCAAGCACCTTAGACCAGGAGACTGTTTTCTAAGGCTAAAAAGTCAGTTATATTAGTATTGACCATTAAAGAGAGGGGGAAAAAAATCAGTGTTCCTCTGCCAGAAAAACCTGTTTCACTGACATTTTTCCAAGTACCAACAAACCAAAAAACAAAACGTAGGATCCATTAGTGATTTTATTTAAAACTTGACTGTCGGGAGTTAGAAGCATGTGATCATTGCTTTTGCCCTTGGGTTTGGGCTTGCCTTCTCATTGCGAGATCTAGGTTGTAAAGGCCTTAGCAGAGACAGTTATCATCTGTAACCAATGGCTAGGACCTTTTCCTGCTAGGGCAGGAGGAAACGGGTTTGGAGTTGTTTCTACAGAAATTCCTTCATAAATTAGCTAATGTATGGCTGAAGTTGCAAGAAGGGAACATCGCATTGGATTTATCTAGAAAAACGTATATTTTAAAATCAAATCATGGTAAGGATTAGTTTTGGTTTCTGCAGTAAATCCTGTGTGCACTATATATCTTCAAATATTATCAACTAATATGCTTATAACTGATGCCTCTGAAACAGGGTTTCTTAACCTTGGAACTATTGACATTTTGGACCAAATAATTCTTTGTTGTGGGAGCTATTTTGCATGTTGTAGACTGCTTGGCAGTATCCCCAGTCTCTACCCATGAGGCGCTAGCAGCCTGTAATCCCAACACTTTGGGAGGCCAAGACAGATAGATTACTTAAGCCTAGGAGTTCAAGAGAAACCCTGTACAAGAAGTATACAACACTAGCTGGGCATACTGAGCCCAGGAGGTCGAGGCTGAAGTGAGCCAAGATTGTGTCACTGCATGCCAGCCTGGGTGACAGTGAGACCCTGTCTCAATAAATAAATAAATAAATAAATGAGTAAATAAAAGTTTGTTCAAATGGCATTTCTTTCTTCATGAGAAATATTGTTCTAATTTCTAACTATAATTGGTTAAAGGAGATTTACAAAGAAAAAAAGAAAGAAAATTTGAAATCTTCTACCCTGAGGAAAAAAATGAATAATTTTGCAGATGAAAGGTACTTGTTAGTAGGATATGAAGTGAAACATGTTCACATGTGTAACATTTCCATTTACTCTTATAACAAGAGACATAATAATGTTATGTAGAGCTATTTAAAAGTGAACTCAAACTACAAGGTAGATTAATAGTCTAAGCTTTGGCAAGACCCATGAACCCTGTTCTCTGTTCTTTAGTTTTTGGTTTGCTTTGTTTTGAGACGGAGTCTCACTCTTGTCACCCAGGCTGGAGTGTAGTGACACAATCTCGGCTCACTGCAGCCTCCACCTCCTGGGTTCCAGCAATTCTCTTGCCTCACACTCCCGAGTAGCTGGGATTACAAGCTCACACCACCACGCCCAGCTAATTTTTGTATTTTTAGTAGATATGGGGTTTCACCACGTCAGCCAGGCTGGTCTTGAACTCCTATCCTCAGGTGATCCACCCATCTCTGCCTCCCAAAGTGCTGGGATGAAAGGTATGAGCCACTGTGCCTAGCCTGTTCTTTAGTTATTTAATGTTAAATAATCGTAATACTTGTCAATCACTGAACTCTACTAAGCGAAAGTGTATGTATTTAGAAGACTGTTGACCCGAACGCATAAATGAAGCTCTTTTTCTTTTTCTTGTGTGCCCTACATGTCCAGAGAAATGTCTCTACTAACAAACTATAGAAATGATCCCTGAAAGTATAATCTTTAGAAATGGAGTTCTTGACCATTAAATAACAAGCTAATCTGAGACTCTTCCTGTCTGTTCCACATACCCATACTGAGCTACAGCCTAGTGGTTGCAGAGCACGAAGTTTCTGTTCCCCAACTGAATGTCGATTTTCAAGACGAAATCCTCATGGATTTTAAGGAAAGTTCTATGTTTAGGAAACAAACATTGGTGTTACTGAAGAAATGATGCTGCAGATTGACTAATTCAAAGGACTTAAATAACAGGTATAGAAGACGCAGATGTCAAGCAGCAGTTCCAGCTACTTACCTCTCAACAGTAACGGTATTGTCTCTGATGCTGCAGATTTTGTTATAACTAATTGGAATAGGCCTACTTTTTAAAAACCTTGGGAAATAAGGTTCATATTTTCAAAAATCAAAAACATAGTTATAAAGCCTGAGCAATACAGACATAATTCTTTTGTTTTCAGATTAAGAGAAGGATAATAAAGGAAATCTTATTACAGAACAACCATGTGTTTTTTTAGATTTTTCTCCCGATATTAACTTTTGCTAAGTGAATGAGCATTAATTTAATATTTCCCTAAAAGTTAAGAACAAAAAGTAAAAAAGAAGAAAAGACCATATTACAACCTTAAACTCTGTTTTCCTCTTCTAGGATTGAAAAACTAAACTTGTCAAGACTACTTTTTTTAAAGCAACTTGTGTAAAGTATATTCAATTTTCATCATTTCTACAGAAAAATGAACTAGAACAAATGAAACCCTGTAGGAATGGAGTGGTCATTACCGCCTCCCTTACATTGGCCTCTCCCTGGGATTTCTGGCTTCCTTACCTTCGGACTTCTTATGGAGAAGCAGACAGCACTGTGTCGTGAAAATCTTATTGCTGGTTCAAGTCCCAGCAGGTTCTGGTCATTTTCGGAGCAGACGCTGTTCCCTATTCCAGGTCAGGGTACACTATGCTAATGAGTTCTGGCAATGGTCCAATCAAAATCTAGATGCTCTCGGCTCCGGATAGGTAAGAGCAGCCTGGGAGTCACTTAACCAGCCTGATTCTTCTCAGAATGCCAGCAATGTGATGAATATTCTATGATGTGTCTCTGAACCTCCCCCCACCCGACCCCGCTTTATGTTATAAGCACATTTGAACTAAAATGGACACTGAAAAGAACCTCATGAGGAAGTACAGATGTTTTTCTTCTTGTAATGTTACAGATTGGGCCCCAGGCAGACGATTCACACTAGATCCTAATTCTCCCACTATTTACCCGGCAGGTAATAATTTTCTCTTGTGTGTGCAAGAGAGAGAAGACAGACAGAATGAGATAGAGAGATATTACAGTGAGGAAATTTACTGGAATAGACAGTGGGTAGCCAACATCCTCTATGCCAGAAATACCAAAATGCTATCTTAACCCTAGCAATGATTTCTCACTAATTCTGAGTGTTCTGAGCCCCTAAAAATATATAATTCTTTCTTCTAGAGATACTCTCAGTGCTATTCTTTCTTTTAGAACCTTTTGCGGTACAGCCCAAGCCAGTTCAGTTCATCTGTTGTGTTCTAGGTAGTCTGCTAGGCCTTGGCAACACAAGAGAGAATGAAAGCTATTATAGAAGTTCAGTCTTGTAGGAACGATGAACGAAGCTACTAAATAAGGCCAATTTTGGCTGGGCATGGTGGCTCACGCCTGTAATCTCAGCACTTTAGGAGGCCGAGGTGGGTGGATCACCTGAGGTCAGAAGTTCGAGACCAGCCTGGCCAACACGGTGAAACTCCGTCTCTACTACAAATACTAAACAAAAAAACATTAACTGGGTGTGGTGGCACGCTCCTCTAGTCCCAGTTACTTGCGAGGCTGAGGCAGGAGAATTGCTTTAGCCCCAGAGGCAAAGGTTGCAGTGAGCCAAGATCGTACCACTGCACTCCAGCTTGGGCTACAAAGTGAGACTCCATCTCAAAAAAAAAAAAAAAAAAAAAAAAGCCAATTTAATTTGATGTATAGAATAGAAGTAATATAAATGAGAAGGCTATTAAGCTGGAGGGAGGAGAATCAGAGGAAATCCACCCAAATGGTGTTGGATGAGCCTTTTGAAAGACAAATAGATATTAATCAAGGCATGAAGGACTGGAAGAGGGTGTTTCAGGGAGTGACAATATCCTGGACAAAATAACCAGGGATCGCTACCTGTCAGGAAGGTCCAGACTCTCAGGAATGAGGCTTAGAAGGCAGAGATGAGCAGGCCAGAAGGCAAAAGGCTTGGACAGCCTTAGTTGCATTGGGTGGCCCCTAATAGCCCTTTGGCAATGCTTAAATTTCTCATTTGTCTTTCAGTTCATGAACGAATTCCTCTTCTGCCTGAAGTTTAATACCCTGCTTAATATATATATATATTTTTAGATGGAGTTTTGCTCTTGTTGCCCAGGTTGGAGCGCAGTGGCATGATCTCAGCTCACCGCAACCTCCGCCTCCCAGGTTCAAGCAATTCTCTTGACTCAGCCTCCCAAGTATCTGGGATTACAGGCATGCACCACCACACCCAGCTAATTTTGTATTTTCAGTAGAGACGGGGTTTCTCCATGTTGGTAAGGCTGGTCTCAAACTCCCAACCTCTGGTGATCCGCCCTCCTCAGCCTCCCAAAGTGCTGGGATGACAGGAGTAAGCCACTATGCTCAGCAGATTTTTTAAAAAGTCCTATTCTTATCTCCCATAGGTTTCCACTGTTAACATGTCAGTCATGTCCTTTCAGACTTTCGTTTTCTCCTGCACATACAACAAAAAGATACTGTTTTTATCTGCATAATTGTAATCCTATTGCACATGCTATTGCTTTTGTTTTGTTTTTTTGGTTTTTGTTTTGCTTTTTTTGGAGATAAGGTTTCCCTGTGTGGCCCAGGGAGGGCTCTAACTCTTGGTGTCAAGTCATTCTCCCCACTCAGCCTCCCAAGCAGCTGGGACTCCAGGTACCCACCACCACATCGGGCTATTGCTTTTCACTGTTGATGAGTGTTTGTCCTGGCTCCCCAGTGAGGCTGCCAGCTCCTTCATGGCCACGTTGGAATCTTCCACTTTCCCTCTCCTCATAGAAGACCTGCTGGGTTTCCAGCGGCAGCATCACAGCCATCCTGGTCCCAAGCACCAACCCTGCTTGGACAGAGGAGGGCGCTGAGAAGCTCTGGTTCCACATTGATTGGGCTGTGACATGATACCCCAGACTAGTAAGGGTATTTTTTTTTTTTTTAATAATTCGCAAATAAAATACTATTTTTTATTAAGACGGGGTTTCACTATGTTGGTCAGGCTGGTCTTGAACTCCCGACCTCAGGTGATCCATCCGCCTGGGCCTCCAAAGTGCTTGGATTACAGGTGTGAGCCACTGTACCCAGCTGGGTATTTTTGCTTTCTTAAGGCCAAGGTCCCAACTTATTACCGAAATTCTCCTAATTGTTTTTGGGTTGTTTTTTTTGGACACAGGGTCTTGCTCTGTCACCCAGACTGGAGTGCAGTGGAGCAATCTCAGCTCACTGAAGGCTCTTCCTCCTGGGCTCAACCCATCCTTCCACCTCAGCCTCCCAAGTAGCTCAGACCACAGTCACATGTCACCACACTCAACTAATTTTGAATTTTTTTTGTAGAGACAGGATCTCACTGTGTTGTGCAGGCTGACCTCAAACTCCTGCGATCCAGTGATCCACTGCCTCGGCCTCCCAAAGTGCTGAGACTACAGGCATGAGCCACCTTGCCTGATGAAATTCTCCTAATTGGATATCTGTCATTGTTTTTTTTTTTTTTTTTTTTTTTTGAGACTGAGTTTCGCTCTTGTTACCCAGGCTGGAGTGCAATGGCGCGATCTCGGCTCACTGACAACCACCGCCTCCTGGGTTCAGGCAATTCTCCTGCCTCAGCCTCCCGAGTAGCTGGGATTACAGGCACGCGCCACCATGCCCAGCTAATTTTTTTTGTATTTTTAGTAGAGACGGGGTTTCACCATGTTGACCAGGATGGTCTCGACCTCTTGACCTAGTAATCCACCCGCCTCGGCCTCCCAAAGTGCTGGGATTACAGGCTTGAGCCACCGCGCCCGGCCTGTCATTGTTATTAATAACAATAATTATAGTAGCTTCCCTTGACTGCAC